CCGGCCAATTTCACTTCCCTTAACATTTCTCTGCGGAGCTCAGGCTCGAGTATATCAGCTCCTTTGATCAGGAATTCTTACTTGAATCAAAATCTTGGGATCTCCCAGTTGAGAGCTATGGAAGAGTCGCACTCACAACAACAACGGCGGATTTTTTACCCTGGGGTTAGTTTATCCTCAGCTGAGAATAATAATTCATCGATGTCATTCAATTTTCCCAGTGAAAGTATGAATGTGAATGATATGTTACATGCTAAGCAAGAGGTGCGTGATCAAGCCGCTTGTCTTGATGTGTCCGATAGGAGGATCAAAAGGAGGCCTGATGAGGAAGATCTGACATGTTTGCAAAATCATATTGGAAATTATATGGTACAATCGAGTTCAGGTTCCATTGCTGCTAGTCATCAAGGTCAAGTGCAGGCGGCTGCGTTTTTGATGGTGACAAATAATCCTAGTAATACTAGTACTAGCCAATTGATTAGGGGCCCTGATTCTTTATGGACATTCCCCAGTAGTATGACTGGAACTAATCACAACTTATTGCATAGAGGTGGAGGAGCTTCAATGTCTAGCAACGGACTACATTTCATGAATTTTCCTACCTCAATGGCCTTATTGCCCGGTGTACATGGGGCAAATAATGGTGGAGGAAGTTCTGGCGTGTTTGAAGGACAATCAGGCATGATTGCCGGTTTAAACAGTTTAAGGCCGGCTGTCCCAGGTGGTGGAGCTTCTGAAGCTAATCTTCATCTCGGAGGAGAAGAAGATTGGCATGATGCAACTACTAGTACTACTACTCACCACTCCTAGCTAAATCAACCAAGTTTACTGCTTTAATTAATTTCTTGCTTTTTTTTTTTCTGTTACCCCTTCTTTTTGTGTACTAATATCGATGCGTATCATCTAGGATAGTCGAGACATTAGGTCCCAGATCGACACTCTTTGAAAGTTGACTTTGATCTGTTGCTTGATGCTGAGTATTAAATAGTAGTAATAGTATTAGGGTTTCCTGGGGAAATTTTGAAGAGTTTAAGAGTGAAATCTACTGCTGTTTGCCAAGGTCTCCTTTGGAGAAAAACTATGGAGTGTCTTTTTCAGGCATTACATATGTAAATATGCTGATATTTTCAAAATAACACACAAATGATCATGCTTTGCTTTCAAGTAACTACAGTTTGCATGCAATCATTCGTTGTTATGCGTAATGTTCCTAATAAACCTCTAATTGATGAATCTGTTTCAATAGTGTGAAGGAGCACTATATATGTTTTACGGGTCAGAAACATGAATCGCTTTATTGATTCTATTTACATCACGCTATAGTACTTACAACAATCATGGTACAACATTGTAATTAAGGTTCCATCCGTAAGAGAAAATGGTCCAAACCACATACCCTAAGACGAGGGAGGGAGCCCACATTTCTGAGCATCAGCCTTTCAGGTTAGCTTTCATGTCATCACCAATGAACCCTAGCTATACTGATCATATTGCCCAAAACTCGCATCAGTTTATCAAGTACTAGCGGAATCATTATTCCTCTTTCTCATATAAAGTGGCTGCAGCCAGCGAAGATGGTGCGTTTTAGTGACCCTACCACACATGTCTGACCAACTTAAAGATCTGGATCGTACGTTGATCAACTAAATGCATCTCTGTATTATAATCTCTTGATCAATAACGTGGTTTTTTTTTTTTTGGATGAAAATGGACATGGATTGGAGTTGCTTGTGCTATCGCTGGACTTTGTCTGTTGAAATATCGATTCCTAGCTACTTAATTGCCATTTCTTCAAGAGCATGCATGTTGTCTGAGTTGTTGTTAGTTTCATGTAAACCAGATCTATTCAACATCTCTCCAGAATGGCAAAATATTCTTTTATCACCATTCCTTCATTTTTATTTTTTTGCATCACTTTTTCTCCTGCTGTTGAGTTGATTACTTTTTTGGAAAAATTAAGAAGATATCGGCCAAATGATTTTCTTGACAATTTTTATGCACTTTGCCTAAGTACCTCTGAGTAGTAAAAATCATTTTAATGATGAAATATCAAATCCATGTTAATTTTTTTTTTTTTTGGTGAAATTTGTTGGCCCTAGTCTTAGTTTTCAAGGGGTGCTGGGAAAGTTTCTCTAGCAAAAAGAATGATTGTATTTGCATGAAAATATATTGGAGTAACTTAAAATCTGTCCTGGAATTGATTTAATGCTTACTTATTTCAGTCAAGGTTAAATTACTCAACTGCAGTGATTCACTATAGCGAAACTTGTTGCATCATTCATGCCTATATGAGCAACCTGTGAAAGGAAACAATCAAATATTCATCTTCTGACTTCCAGGGAAATATATGGCTACATTTCTAAGATTCTTTTCTGCCAACAGTGCAAGTATAACCACTTATATTGTGTTACTGTATGGTTGCTGTAATCATGATCCACCATGTCGTTTGGAGTTCATTTGTGGAAATATTTGAAATGGTCATAAGAGAAGAAATGCATCATTTTGTATCAATGAAAGGAAGATAAAGCAAGCTAACTCCCCAGGAAACTCACTAAGGCAAGGGTAAATAGAGCTGTGCAGTTCATGTTCCCTGCGGGGGATTTTCAGTTTCCTCTCTCTTTTAAGATCTTGCAAATGGATGTAATCTCCTTACAGGAAGGCCATTTGCTTTGAGTTCAGCAAAAATCTAAGAAACTAGAGAGTAGTTTGAGTTACGCATATTGTGGTACTCCTCATGCATCCATTTCCTTACCAATGCTTTCTGTTTTGTACGAATTGGCAAGATTAATTACTAGCAACTTTCGCACATGGTCTCTTAATCTGTCACACCTTTAAGATACATATATATATATATGTTGAGGTTGTGATACTTTAAACTTTAGTTTCAGAAAATCTGGTATTAATGTTATATAAGCATGTTAGTTGAACCATTTAGTAGAAAATCACTCAAATTTGGACAAGAAATCGTAGTTGAATATCAAACATTGCGGGAATGAAAGGATGGAAATTAATTTCATTTGGACACTTGATGATGCTTTATCTAGCTAGCCACCAAAAGGCTAATAAAGGTGACGTTAATCACATTTCAAAACTCTGTGAGCAGTTGTGCTTTTCGCTTTTCATTCAGTAGTTTTGATTCTTACAATCCTCTAGTTATTCCTATGCTTCTTACTTCCCCTCTCCTTTTAATACACATCCGATTGAGTACTTCTCAAAGATTAAAGTTGTGGGTATGAAACCACAAAATCATCACAATTTAAGCATTCCAAAAATAGTTCTTTGACTATAGCAAGAAATTCACACTATGTGCCCCTCCCTCCCGCCCTACTGTAGCAAGACATCTGTTTTTCTTGATTGCAGATGACCGCCAATTAAATCAAATTGATGAATGTGTAATGTGCCTACTTAGATTTGCCCAACCAGCGACCAGGATATGTTGTGCTCAACATTTATCAAATATTTTATTCATGTATATTACTTTTACCTTATAATATAATATAATTGTACACTAAATAACGTAAATAGGACAACAACCGAGTCGAATCGTATCAGACCTCAATTGCATTAGCCCATCTCCCCCCAACCAAAACCAAATGCGATAATAGAACTATTGCTACAAGGAACATTAAATAAATTAATGCTTCCAAAATTTATTGATTGGTTGAAAAGATAACTATTACTGCAAGGAAATTACTACTTCCAAAATTTATTGATTGGTTGAAAGGATAACTATTTTTTTTTTGTCACAATAAATTATATTCTACACCTACTCTTACTCTGCACTAAGGGAAATGGGTGAACCCGAGGGGGTCAATAGGAAATTCGGAGGGAATTGAACCATCACCGGATTAGACGGGTGCCTTTGCACTAGCCGGTGAAATTTCCAAGAAATTTTACAAGGTAAAGATAACTATTGCTACAAGGAAGATTAAATAACTTATTGCTTCCAAAATTTATTGATTGGTTGAAAAGATAACTACTGCTGTTAGACTGAGATATGGTGTAGTAAGGCGTACGTTCCCGCAATTTTTTGTTTTGTGTTTCCACGCTGATTGGAAATGCAGAAACGAACAACTACAAGCTCCTTTTCTACAGTGATAAATAATGCAATCGATTTCACACCAACAATGACAAATGCAAGAACGTTTCTAAATTGTTTGCAAACGATCTTGACAGTTGACATAACATATCAGAGTACAGTTCAATTATTTCTACTATATCAAAAGGACTAGGCGATGCATGCATGGATGATTAATCCTAGGACTAGCACTACATTGTTCTTGTTCCGAGAGACCACTGATCTTGTCGGTATCATACAGTGCAAGTTTTCGCACCGAAATGTAACTTTTTTTTAACACAAGAAGAAACTCTAATCTTACCAAAAGAAAGAAGGAAAGAGGGAGTCGAACCATTCAAATTTTTTCCTTATCAAGAGAGAGAAGAGAAATTAACTAATGTCTCTACTATTATATGTTTTGGTTTTGTTTTGTTAAAGCAAAACCCAATGCAACGCAGCTTATATTTCTTCTTAGACACAAATGAAACAACTTTTCAAAGAAAGACACAAATGAAACTGAGTTATATGTCTTTTTGGAACAACATGGTCAATTTCTTGCACAAAATTAAGAAAAAAGAATTAAATGGCGAATAATGTGATTCAATCTTAATGAGATAATATAGGCAATAAATCACATGCTATTTTTTTTTCTCATCATTGAAAGCTCTCCTTTTTCTTCACTATTCCCTGCCGCGTTTTCGGGAGTCAAAAGTAGTACAGGAAACTGGGAAAGTCAATAGAGCGGAGATCCAATGCACCCCACTTTCGTCAACAATACCATCCTTTTAATCTAAAAGCCAATAAGATTCAGACCGAGTCCCATGTCTCGGACCTTAAAGTAATACTTTGTCCTGCGCTTGACTGTCTAGCTCGAATATGATTGGCCATTGTAATTTGGATGCATCAACCAGCAATATAGCAGCTAATGGAAAAAAAGAGAGAAGATTTTTCGGTGCCTCTTTCTTCGTGAAGCATAAAGATGTCCTATGTCCAAGTGCCCATGTCCTAGAAGAAATTTCGAGGCTTCTTGGTTGCAAATTTCAATCACCTTTCCATACTTTCTAGAAAATTGTCCTTTTCTGCAACACTTTCCTTTTCTCTTTCTTTTCTAATTTTTAGTATTACTTGTTTGTATAACACTTTCCTTGACTCAATGCAAAACACATTCCTTGGGTTTCTGTCACGCTGTCCTAGAGAAGAAACTGAAGAAAACAGGAAGTGGTTTCTGCTTGTTCTAAAATCTTGCAGGACCCCGGGAACAAAACAGGCAGAGATTGCAATTCTACTCCCAGAAAAAAAATGGGTAATTCTGGGAATAATCTTCTTGCTGTGATGGCCAAGAACATTGATGTTATAGCTATGTAAGAATGTAGTAGTAATTTATTTTTCTTCAAGTTCTAATTTCTTTTTGCCTCGGTTCTTTTTGTAACGCTACTTGCATTACAATGTGATTGTTGCTGCATGCTTCTATATCACGGTAATATTTTTCTACTAAAAGCTGAAACCAAGATTTGATTTTTCTTCTCAAATAGTTCCTTTTTTTTTTTTGCTAACTAAAATCTGTTTGTTCCTTTTTCAGGCCTGTGATTTCTCTCGTGTATCCTCTGTAAGTCTCTGTCCTTTTGTCAAAAAGTTTGGATCTTTCGTGATTATTTGTTGCATAGTACTTCACATTGCAAATCTTTGAGGAAGAGGAAAGAATTGCAAAATCACTGCTTAGTTTGTTGCTTAATAGTACAGCTATATTGATCAAATAAGGTAGGTTAATGCCGGTGTTTAGATTGTCCCAGTAAATTTTTCCTTCTGATGTTATTTGAGAATGGATATTCTGCTTTTATGGTAGGAGGGAAAATTAGAGACCCTTTACCTCTCTGCTCCCAAAAGGCATTTGAAATCAGAGTAAAAGTAACATTGAGGGTTGGTGGGCTTGATGGCTGTTACATGTTTATGTTTGAAGGATATCTTTATTTGGTATTATGTGTATTTGTTGCATGGTTCATAGGATGGTAAATGACAATCTAACCTTGTCATTGTGATGTTGACAGGTACGCTTCTATTAGGGCCATAGAGACTAAATCTCGTGCTGATGACAGGCAGTGGTTAACTTATTGGGTTCTTTATTCTCTAATTACTCTGTTCGAGCTTACATTTTTCAAAGTTCTTGAGTGGTAAGTGTGCTGCAAACTCGAGTTTCTTACATCTCTTATACTGCTAAATTATGGTGAATCGGCCTTGGACTGGCTGAACCTGCTGCCAAATGCTTGAAGCTACTAGAACATGATCCACTTCACCGAAGTTACTTATTTCCTATTTTCATTGCCTGGACCAGTCATTTCCAATATTTCAGTCTCATCACCTTGTTTTGTTCATCACATATACAGGGCTGAAGTCCAACAATAGCACTTCCTCTCAGTTACCAAGTGCATAATGCAATTACATCAGATTAAGTAAAATACAGTTGACAGGGGAACTAATACCAAATTTATTTATTTATTTATCATGAGATTACTACCTTTATATAGCTCATTAGAAGCAAGTATTATGAGAATATTCATGATTTTACCACCTTAAAGCATCAACGCCACGTAGACGTGTAACCAGTGTAAAATGGAGGAACTGAGTTACAATGGACAAAATATTTCAGCCTAAATTGAGGAGCTTCTTTTTGTGCTTCATCGCGTGCATATCCATCGATTCTTCGATATAAAAGCACATTTCATCCCACTGTAAAGACTGACGAGATCACTCTTTGCGTGAATGATGTTTTAACTTGATATTTTCTGTCCTCTCATTTATCCTTAGAGAGTACATGAGAGAAGTTTACAAAGTGAATAACTTTTTGGCTAAAAAAAAGTTGAAAGCTGAGAGGAATTTCCCCCCCTTTACATCCTTAATTTTGGTTTGCTTTGCCATAAAAGAATTGCCTGTGTGCTGCTGTAAGAATGTGCTCATGCATGTCTGGATAAAGTATGTTGCTGTTGACCTGCCCTTACTATTTGATTTTCTTGTTGGCATAAGGTTACCCATTTGGCCCTATGCGAAACTGATTGGTATATGCTGGCTAGTCCTACCTCAGTTCAACGGAGCAGCTTATGTTTATGAGCATTTCATTAGACCTTTCTACAGGAATCCACAAGTTAAGATCTGGTATGTACCTCGAAAGAAGGATGTTTTCAGTAAACCAGATGATGTCCTTACTGCTGCAGAAAAATACATTGAAGAAAATGGACCAGAAGCCTTTGAGAGAATGATAGCCAGGGTACGCTAAGCTCTGTCCTTTTTCAACATTATTTTCTAAAATGTTTGTACCTTAAACGTCTAACTTTGGGTTTTAGATTTTGCATTTAGACCAGCTAATTTTTTTGGGCGAGGAAAAACTGGGGAAAAAGGGGGTGAACCCTTGATGTGGAATCTTTAGTAGTGCAGTTTACCAATAGAGAGAGCATGATTGGAAATAAGTTCTTGAATAGTAAAATGTGTCCTGAATACTGAGTATCAGACCATGAACATAAATTAGGTACTAATGCTATTCATTTTTCAAAGTTACTACTTGCAATGTTGAGCATCTACAATTACTACAAGTTACTGATCCATTTGTTGTTCTTTCATAGCTCACAGTGAATTATAATTACTGCTAACGAGCTGTACTGGTCTGATTCATAAGTGAGGTTGTTTTCCTCAGCTGATAGACTGACATGCGCATTGCTAAAACAATAACTATTCATTGCTCAAACACAGAGTGGGTTTGTTTGGACAAAGAAAATTTGCAAGATTTATTTCAGATTTTGTTTTGCTTGCATCATACACACAATTCCCAATCACCTTTTTATCTCACATACATCACATCACAAAAAGTACTACAGTAACTGGATCAAATAAATCATCCAAATAAATTCTTATTGCTCAAACACAGTGTTTCTGAATGCACATAATATTTTGGGAAGGACCCCTTTCTTGACCAATGGTACTTCAGCATTTTCCCATCGTTCATAAAGTTTTCCTCTTTCTGCAAATCCATACATAGGACATATGCTATAAGACCTGTATATCCAGTTGTAAGAGAATTAATTTAAAACATTCTTGTCAATAAAGTAATATTTATTCCTGTTCATTTGCATGAACGTTTCTTTTATCTGTGTGCTGATGTCATGGCAGTCCATAATCGACGGTTTTGTGTTTCTGTGTACAGGCTGATAGAGAAGCCCGGGCGAGGAGGAGCAACTATATGATCTTTGAAAATGATAGAGGATATTATTAACACCCTGTATTTACTGGTACCGCACCACAAAGTTGGGGTACTTTTTCTGGCTCAGAACCAACTGGGCAGCGAGTATATGATCACTTGACCATCTTTCGTTGCATTTTTCTGATTGCAAAGCTTGTTGAAACTGAGGTTACCTGTATATCGAAGTGTGACTAAAGTACTACTAAGGTATATGGACGACTTGTCCATCAGAATAACTCTTTATTCTGCTTAATGATCTTCGCTACTTCTCCATCAGCATTGTTCAACAAGTGCTGCAGCTGCTTGCTTTCATTGAAATCAAGCGTCAACATTGTCAATGCCAGGGGAGAAGGGAATATAAGTGAGAGACTTCGGGTTCGAGTCTTTCCACTTATACTAAAAAGAAAAAATTTATTAAAAAAAAAAGCCTCAACATTGTCAGTGGATTATGTTCTAAATAGACAGATTCGTAGGCTATTGATTTTTTATGTTTCCATAATTGTGCCATTGATTTCAGGTTCTCATCTTGTTTAGTTGCATTTTTCTTTTATTAGCTCCTTTTGGATTCTTCCTTTCCTAGGGCAATAAAGAAATTGCTTCCCCTTGAAAACATGTTTGAAAAGGTCTATTCTAAAAGTGGATTAAGCTCAATTGGATATGTGAGATTCAAGAAAATCAAGCAATCAAAAAAATCAATTTGAAATGATTTATATCTAGATTTATAAGTATTCCACTCGAACGGACATAGTTATCAATACGATCTCTTTACAGCTAAGATATTACTTGCCAACGATATTTCCAATTAAGATATTACTTGATTTCCAAGTCCGTTAACTCAACTTTTAAGTCTTTAACGAAACAAATTAGTATATTGTTGGAACTTGGGAATAAAGATAAACAATTTGGCCAATTATACAATTCGTTGAATGTTGCAACACAATTCCATTACAATCATAGAGAAAATGGGCTTAGCAACAACATATGTTTTTATGTTTTGCCTTATGAGGAGTCTTTCATCCAGAGAAGGCAGAGATATACAAGAAAAATCGTATTGATTTTATTTATTGGTTTTTGAAATCTTTTGTTCACATTTCTTGAGTTTAGTCATATCATAGCTGTTCTTTTTCTTTTGCCAGAAAAAAAGGGAATAGGTTATGGTATCATACCTATTCCACAGAGCTCAAACTCACATTTGTCTCTCCCCAAATTTCGTATTTAGTTAGATTACTCTGTTCTTACAAAAATTCATTAGACAAAGAGGTAGTGTAATTGAAATATCGGGTAAACTTCCTTCAAAAAAAATATATCGGGTAAACTAGCAAATATGGCTTCCCCAGACCTGTGGATACCAAAAGCTTAAAAGGAGGTTTTTCATAATTATTCCAAAGATAAGGAGTGATTACTGTAATTTGTCATAGTGTGACTCGTCCCTTTTTAGGCTTACAGACAGACTTTTGGCCTTATTCGTTAATTTTGCTCTAGAAAAGGACAAAATCAGAACATCCCAATCATCAAAAAATCTCAGGTGCAAGAATCTGACTTTTTGATGCTGACAGGGCGTAACTCCGAAAAAGAGGGATGTTAACAAAGGAGCGGAAACAAAAAAGAAATCAGCAGAGAAAAAGAGAAAGAGACAAAGGATGAGAACAAAATGTTGAGGAAATAAAGACAAAATTTCGACATCTTTAGAGCTCCTCTGGAACAAAATTTGCTGATTTTTAATTAATCTGCAAGACCCTTTTGTCCCAGGAAAGGGGGAAGAGAGCTTTGATACCGAGCTAAAAAAGTTGTCATTTTTGTCTTTCAATTTTCCTCTTCTGTCGAAGTCATTATACCCTACGAATTATAGTTCAAGGAAAAGGAACAAGAAGGCCACAGATTCATTCCAAGTGGCCTGCATTACATGTGATAAATGCAAATCTGTGATGTGATTTGGTGAAGGTTGATTAAAGGATTTTGATACGGAATCTTGTTTCAAGGCGTCAGTGTTGATTGCACATATTCAAGAATTGGAGTTTTTCTTGAAAGGTTGAATAGGGATTTCTTGGTTTCTTTGGATTTTCCAGGAGTTGGTTTAGCCGCTCTAGAGCTGAATGTTCAACGGTTTTGAGTCGTGAATAGAGCTCTTGAGGCCTGTTTAAGCAAGTTTAGGGGCCTTTCTCTTTAATAAGCAGGGATTTCTGTTTGTTTGAATGTTCTTCAGGGATTTTATGATGGGGCAGATGAAAAGAGAATAGCTTTGTTGTGAGCTTGTGGTCTTATATGGGGGAGAGTAGTTGTAGGAGGAGGAGATTGTTTTTAGGCTGTGGAGGTTCAAATGGGTTTTGGGTTTTTCTTAGTGATCGCATTACAACTTGAATGGCTGATTTGCAGAGGCCTGCTCTAGCTGAGAGAGATATTGACCAGGTACTGTTTTTCGCATTGCATTTGCTTCGTTCTTTTGAACTTGACGCAGAAAAAGTATAGGATATTTGATTGTGCTTCTTATGGGAATAAAAGGCCATCACAGCGCTCAAGAAGGGGGCTTTTCTGCTTAAGTATGGGAGGAGGGGAAAGCCAAAGTTCTGCCCGTTTCGACTATCAACTGTAAGTCTTCTTGCAGTACATCTTATCTGTGCAAAGTTCTTAGCTTTCCTGCCTGAAATTATTATTGTCAATGCCTGCTTTTACTTGTTTGGAGCTTCTTTAGGTCAAGGAACTCATCTATCACTTTGTGTCTCGCAATGAAAGAAGTTCATTGTCTTAAGGATTTTAATAGTTTTTATCCTTCATTTCAAGAAGGAGCTCTATAAACCATGACTACAAGAGAGTGTTAACTGAGGCATCATTTCTGCAGCAGATACAATCCTGGAAATGCCTAGTTATGTTTCAACTGAGCCCTTGTTGAGCTTTGTGATACAAAGAGACATCTCTGTGATTCTTCAGATATAGTTTTGGTAGTTTCATTCAACCTCTTCATCCTCATATATAACAGCATAAAGTATAGAGAGGAGAAAAGAGATCTACAATTTAAAATTAGCTGGAGATTGCTGCTTTGCCATGTTGTTTTTGCCACCATCTGTTGATGAGAAATTAAATCATCTTATAGATGAACTAATGAGCAACATTTGTGCACTTAGTGCTCCACATTCTTTTTTAGGCTTTGGATTTGGATTGTCATGTTTACAATTTCACATTGACACCTTCTGAAATGTTGCATGAATAAAAAGAAGCGGTGGAGAATGCTCCAATTTCTGCAGAAGTAACGTTCTATAATCTATAACGGTTGGAAATTTTGGTAATCTGGAAAATAAATGTGGAATTCTCCTTTATTAGCAAGGAGGTTGCTCAATACGCTTCTGTTGATTTTCTTTTTAAGAAAGATAATTACTACAACTTCTCTATCCAAATCACACCTAAATCAACATACTGTGTAATTCTTCTTACCTTAGTGCAATTTTACTTGTGCATCACCTACTGTTGTTTGACCTGCTTTAAAAAACCTTTATTAGTAGTTAATCTGATCATTTCAAGAGAAATTTTGTTCATTATTTTAGTTTGCCGTGGCTTTTGATGCTAAATTTCAGGATGAGTCTGCCTTAATATGGTACTATGGCAAAGAAGAGAAACAGCTTGAACTGCGACAGGTTTCAAGGATTATTCCTGGACAGCGTACTGTAAGTTTGCTGATTTTTCTTGTTATTTTTCCTCAATAGAAATTGATGGATGGTTAGCTTCTGCTTCTGATTTTCTGTTGTAGTAAAAGAAGTATTGAGGTTTCCTAATTAATATGCTTTGAGACAGAAAAAATTGGATGAGCATGCAAGTTTTGATAGCTCAAACTTTTTATGCTTATTTTCAAATTATTATCATTTGTATAGGCACCATCTTAGTTGATCAGAAATAAGCCAATTCCTCTATCAGATCAAAGATCAAATGAACCTTGATGTATCTAGATGAGAAGCTACCACTTTTCTCCTCAACTGTATATTATGCATCTCTGACCTTTCAAATTGACATAAGATCACTTGTCTTAGAGCTGGTCAGTTTGTTAGGAAAAAGGTGAGTAGGAAAAAAATCAGAGAGAGACAGAGAGTTGAAACTTTTGCGCTATCATGTAGGAGTCGAATCTAAGAAGTTAAATAATAAATTGTTTGAAGATTGCTGTTCTTCAGAGCACTCTTGTCTTTGAAGGCCATCATCGTTTTTGCATCATTCTTAGCAACTACATGGCTTATGTTGACTATTTACTGCAAGTTGCTGTATGTAATTGCCCTTCCCTGAGAATAATGAGTGAGATCCAACTCATATGGTAATTGCCCTCTCTTTTCAGGCAATATTTCAGCGGTACCCTCGACCAGAGAAGGAATATCAATCGTTTTCTCTTATATATAATGATAGATCGTTGGATGTGGTGAGCTTTTCATTGCTCCTAATAAATAGTTAACTAGTGCTCGAGTATGAAAGGAAATTAGTTTCATCATCTCTTCAACTTTACCCTGTTAATCTTTCAATTACTGTCTTGGACAGATATGTAAAGATAAGGATGAAGCTGAGGTTTGGTTTTTCGGTCTTAAAGCACTCGTTGCTCATGGCAGCCACCACAAGGCAAGGAATGACACAAAGGCTGAAACATCCTCTTGTGACAGTCCACGTTCTCGAAGAACCTCTCCACCAAGTTTACCCTTTGTGAGTTACCCTTCTTAGTTAATTTGTTTGGAAATTAGGGTGTTAGGGCTTTCTCTCTTAATTATCTTGTTGATGACTTAATTATATTAGGATCATGGAGACACTCCAAGAGCTGAAAGTATTCCACAAAGCAGATTGGGAAAAGCTTTTGCTGACATTGTCTCATATACAGCAACATCAAAAAATTCTTTTCTGGCTGAAATAAATACCAGCACTGCCAGTTCTCTTATACCTGGGGCCACAGACAACTCAAATAGCCGAATTTCTACAGCTGACACAGTTCGAATTAGTTTATCCAGTGCTGTAAGTTCATCAAGCCAGGGATCATGTCACGAGGATTTTGAGTGTCTTGGTGATGTTTTTATTTGGGGAGAAGGAACTGGTGAAGGGGTATTGGGTGGTGGTGAACTTAAAGTAGGTGCATCATCTGGAAGTAGAACTGATGCTAATTTGCCTAAGGCATTGGAGTCAACAGTGGTGCTTGATGTCCATAGTATTTCCTGTGGCAGTAAGTATGCCATATTAGTTACTAAACAAGGGGAAGTGTTCAGCTGGGGTGAAGAGACAGGAGGCCGTTTGGGTCATGGATTGGTGGCTGATCTTCCCTATCCCAAGCTTATTGATAGCCTTAGTGGTATGAACATTGAAATGGTTGCTTGTGGGGAGCATCATACCTGTGCTGTTACACTTTCTGGTGATCTGTACAGTTGGGGTGATGGCACTCATAACTGTGGGTTGCTTGGGCATGGAAGTGAAGTCAGTCACTGGATTCCTAAGAAAGTTAGAGGCTCTATTGAGGGCTTACACGTTTCATATGTCT